CTTGGAGGTTCATGGGTATTTACAAGTAGGGTTATAAGTAGGGTAACTATAAATATAACCCATATTAGGGGACTTTTGGCCTTACTGAAAACTACCCATGAACCTCCAAGTACCCTATGCTTCCTGCTTCCGAGGGTCTGGGGTTTTAGGGTTCAGGATTTTTAGACCCCTGTTGAGAGACCAAGCATACGGTCCCTGGAAGCATAGCGTTAGGCTTTGGGCGGGGGGGGGGGTAAGTTAGGGTTTTTTGAATTTCAAGGGGTTTTGGAGTGTGTGGAAAGTACGACTCACTCCGATTAATCATTGATTCTGTGAGCAGCGGTGTCTTTCCCGGCTTTCCCCAAACGGCATCTCTGCACGTACACACCTTCACAGCATCACATCCCATGTGTACATTTGCAGTGGGCTATTTCGTCAAGACAAGTCTTGGCCGAGTCCTTGTCAATTAATTGTGGAGCCAGTTAGAAGATGTATTCGCTTGCTTTTGCAGCAGCAAATCTTCTTCTGCACCTCTTGGCGGCTGCCCCCCCGCCAAACTCCTGATCAGTTTGATGGATTGGTTGCCTTCATCAACATGTGCTTCTTGTCTTTGCTCTGGACAGCTCAGGTGTTCTGTCAAAGCGCTATAGAGAGCGCCCAAAATGACCATGCTATGGTGGTTCAGTCCATGATAGATAACAAGACCGCGCACTTGACAAAGATCAAAGCGCTCTTCAGCGAGATCGGTGCAGAAGAGAGTGGCGTGCTCACCATTGGTGTCTTCGAAGAGAAGATCAAAACTCCAGCGGTGCGCCAGTATTTCGAAGCATTGGGCTTGGACGTCTGGGATGCGTGGCCTGGCCGCAGAAGGACCCTGAGGATCCCCCTGAAAGGCTTACAGGTCTAGGGCTTTTAGGGTCCAGGGTTTAGGGTCCAGGGTCCAGGGTCCAGGGTCCAGGGTTTAGGGTTTAGGGTTTAGGGTTTAGGGTTAGGGTCCAGGGTGTTAAGGCCGGGTCCTGTTGCTCTTTTGATTTCGTGTGTTGCTAGGCCTCGACTCCAGCCTAGCCTTCTGTCACTTGCGAAGCGTTTCAGTCAGGCTAAATGCCTGGAAAATATGCCGCAACTAGGCTCTAAACCCTAAGCCCTGAGCAAGATGGGAACTTGGAGCGGGGCCTGGTTCCTCAATGTGATTGCCCGAAAAGCTCGGATACATCCCTGAGCTCTCAAACGAAGCGAACCTCTGAACAGAGAGCGAGAACGGCGCAGAGCAAGACAGGACCCTGAATTCAGATGCGAACTGATGCCGTTTTTGAGGTTCACGGAGTTTTGACGTTGACGGAAAGCGAGGAAGGATTGCGGGGAGAAGGGGGGGGAAGCTTAGTGTTCAGAAGCTTCGGGCTCCCTGATGGGTTTAATTGTTCAGGGGCCTTTTTGATAATTGCCGAAAATTTTTTTGGGGTTCATTCTTATGCAATATTAAAATTACAGTATAATGCACCTCAAAGCCCTAAGGCCCGTGTATTCCGTTAAGTATAGCATCCAGCCGGCATGCTTGTTTCGGGTCGAGTGGGAGCATGGGTTCTAACGCGTTTCTTCTCCTCCTACTCCGAGGTGGTCATTTTTCAAGCTGCTCGATGTAGATGGAGGCGGGAGCTTTGGGGTTTAGGGTTTAGGGCCACCCTAAAACCCTAAACCCTAAAGCCCTAAACCCTAAACCCTAAAAAGTTTGGGGTTTAGGGAGTTTTCGGTCGATTGAAAGGAGGGCTGAACATCTTGTTGCAATGTTATGTGCATGATCATGCTAGGGCTTGCGGATTCAATGCTAAGGTGTGTTGTTGACCCCAAAACCCAAAACCCTAAACCGTTGACCCCTAAACCCTGAACCCTAAACCCAGGCCCCGGTAGACCTGTGGGGCTTGGGGTTTCAGAGGTCAACAGTCAGGGACCTCAGAGACCAGACAAGCACGAATTTCTATTGAAACCTACCCGGTCCACGGGGATAGTAGTAGTAAGTTACTAAGATCTTAACAGTTTTATGTTGATGACCAGTATGCACAATAATCATACTGATAGTAGCAGTAGTAGTAGTCGTCGTCGTAGTAGTAGTAGTGGTAGTAGTGGTAGTAGTAGTAGTAGTAGTAGTAGTAGTAGTAGTAGTAGTAGTAGTGGTAGTAGTAGTAGCGCTGCAGTTTTGAAGTAGTACTAGTCCTCCTCCCCCGCTACAAACACTACTA